AATATTAACTAACACCCGGTATATTGAAGAATTTTGCAAACCAAAAATAATATTCTCAGAATGCAAAGAAAAATAGCTGAAAGTAAAATAAATCAATATAAACAGCATTTTATTCGCTTTGTGTCCAAAATGGACAAAACTAATACTCCAAATGTATGCTAAGGCTTAAAGCAGCAACAACGCTACACATGTAAGTAAAAATATTTAAGTATCTGAACAAAGAATTTTAGTCTCTTCCCAAATTTGATGGTCCTGACTAATCACCTGGTAGACCTAATTAATTTTAGAATGTTTTAAAGTGTTGCAATTGTGATGTATTTTAATGTGTGATATGATGAGGCTGTTGACGAACTGTGATTGTTTTTTAAATTAATGAATTTTTTTTAGCTATCTGTTATTTTAGAAAAACTGATGATGGTGGAAAAATACGTCGAAACGTATTTTAATTGATAAATAAAGATAATAAATGACTGAAACCCAGGATTTAATTTTGATTTGGAATATTTTTTAAAAGAAAATGCGTGCGTGCAACTTTCTTTTGCTATAATTCAATTGCCGGTTCAATAACGTGAATACTTTTTCTCAACAGATGCCAGAATGTTCTTACAGCCTTGCAAGTTCAAAGGATAAAAAAAATACAATCTACTACATACAATATTTATTCAAATCCAACAAATGTTCAAGTTCCACATTTAAATTATCCCGCCAGTTACCACAGGCTTACTCACGCTACTCCTCCGGTAGATTTTTTCGGTGTTGGCCCTCTGGACAGTCGACAGTCCACCCCCAACCCCTAAAATCGGCGTTCTCGACAAATCTTCCGACTCTTCTCGATATACGTGGTGTTTTTCTTCCAGCCCAGGAATCGCTATGCCTTGTTCCACCACAGGAATATGATGCTGTAATCCGACCGGGGGAATCACCACTGGTCCTTGACGATGTCTGCGTGGTTGGATAAATATCGGCCCAGAAGATACGACTTGAGTGGATCCAGGATGGCTTAACGATCGGGACACAACCACTGGAGTCCCTAGGGGTGCTCCTATCAGATTGGATTGTTTTACATTGATGTCCTGTTGGAATGTCTTCTGCACCGATGAGGAGTATTCGGAAGCCGAGTCCAGAGCGAGTCTTTCGTTGAAAGGGGCACAATACACCAAACTGGTTACAACAAGCAAATTATACACGGTGTGTGCAATTAAGTTTTTCATGTTGCACTAGTGCGGACTGATGTTGACTGGAGAATGATGCATATATGGAGTGGGTTTTATGATTCGATTTTGTTAAACTGCAGTTCCGCCGGTCTTCCATTAAATTGTTTGTATGCAAATTGGTTATCGGTAATTTTGCATTGTCACCCAACTTTCTTCGGTACCGTCCCACATCAGTGGCCATTCTAGAAGTTCTTCTGATAGGAAGCAATTGTTGATAACAGTTTACTTCACGTCCTTGCTGCTTCAAAACGACTGGTTGCTTTCCAACCAATTAGCTCCCGGAGTTAAAGCCCTGACAACTATCCAGTGCTAGATCTTCATTTGTGTTTTAAGGCCAAATCCTTGACATTCTTCACGTAGTAATCGATGTAGCCTTGAATTCAATTCTATTCTTCGGTACATCAAAAACCCAATCAGGAAGTTGAATAGATTCCCAGATTATTTCGAAATTAATTAACCGATGGTGTTTCCCCTATCGAATGCCATTGTTCATCAATTAAACGCCACAGCCGGAAGGATTTGCATCGGCTGATATGCAATTTGCTGTTGTTTCAATTCCTGACCCCTATGCATCGTTTTCGAACTGTTTTACAATTTTCCCACACTCATTAGGCTTGGAAATGTGCCAGCAATCTTTCAATTGGAGACTGGCAAACACATCCGCCATCAGGAGAATTATAAGTGCAGCATTTGGGTTGACGGTAGATGAAGGTTTAAAGCCTTTTGGGTTGAATTATTTAACCAAAATCATCGGTTACTGGTTAATAAAGATGTTCCGAACATCTTTCACTAGTTTAAGCTTCCAATAACTCAATCAAGCGGTTCCACCGTCTACTTCGTGTCCTTAAAGTGCCATGAAGAAGGCATGCATCCTGTGTAGGCGTCTTCTGTTTTCTTACCATATTATCATATTACTTTCTGCTTCTTGAAGCGACTGAGTCTCTTATTCCCGTCCACTGGAGGATGTTATTGAGCCAAAATAGTTCCTCCTAGCAATGCCTCACTTTCCACCTTCTATCTTCCCCTGCAGTCTCGGGCGCTGCTACTCCTATTGCTATCCACACACAATGTGTCCTATCTAGGAGATCGTTCGTTTCTTAATACGTCCGAAGAGTTCTCAATCTTCCAATCCAGTCATCCTAAGCACACCATCACGATCCGTGTATAATATTTTCAGCATCTGTCTCAGCATCCAGGCTTCCACTCCATACACAAGAACTGACCAGACATAACACGTAACCATTCTGTATTTGAGCTTCAAATTTAGATTCCCGTTGGTGAGAAATTTTCTTAGCTTTGGAAAAGTTGTTCTTGCTTTTTCGATCTTGCACCTAATTTCACGTTCTGCGTAGCACTCGTCCTCCACATTAGATTCCAATTATTCAAACTTGTTGACCCACGCTAATATCAAAAGCTTTTCCATAGTCAATGATGCATATGAAGACGTTCTTTCTTTGGTCAAGCCAATTTTTCATCTCTAGTTCCAAACTCTCTCTTAAAGAAAAACTGACTGAACCACTGACCCGTTCACATTTTCTGTAGGGTTTTGTGTGCAAAATTCGAAGAAGCAGCGTTAAAAAGTAACTCATTAAACTAAAGAGACGATAGCCCTTATATCTTGGTGTGTTACTTTTGGTAAGGTTTTAAATGTGGAGCTAAGCCAGTCTCTAGAGATGTTCAAGTGTCGCAAATACTATCAACATATCTTACCAGTACACCAAATATTCAACATTTCCTACGCAGCAAATAAGCAACTAAACCACTGCAACTACTATACTTTATTGCTAAAATAAATCTAATCTATCACATTATTGGCTCAACATAAGACTGGGAAACCCCAGCAGTTCCAGAACATTACAAGATCGCGTGGATTAATCAGTTTTACTTCCCTACGAAAGTGCTGTATGCGAGTGGAGAAGCTACAGCTCTGGCAGCTATTACTGGCGCTGGGGCAGCTACAGCATAAGGAGCCGGGGCAGCTACAGCGTAAGGGGCTGGGGCTATAAGGGGAGCTGCTAGAGGAGATGCGACAGCATGATTGACTACGCTGGCTGTGTATGAAGAAGCGTAGGGAACGGAGTAGGCTGCAGGGACTGCGGTAATGACGCCTCCGAGACAGCCGGAAATTGCCAGAGTGACCAGAATGGTGATGATCTGAAATGGGTCATAAAATATTACTGAAGGTGTTCAACACTTGGGAGGTTTTCAGAGCAAAATAAAGGATGAGTTTCCTCGAGTAGAAAAGGTTTGAATATACTCACGATAGTCTTTGAAGCCATTTTGCGACTGTTGGTGTGATGTGGAGATACACAATACTTTCCTTGCCATCATGTTGGGTTATATACCCTCCTTTCAACCACTTCTACAAAGGTTTGCTCCATATTTGGAGCACATACATTGATGGTGGTAATTACAATTTAGCAACTGAAAATTATATAATAATTCTTCGGAAAAATTGTTCCAAGTATTTTATCTAGTAGAGATGGGACAGAAATCGACATCTACTATAGGAGTTTATATTAGTTTCACCTACAAGTTTGTCCAAGGTTTCAAAAGTGGCCTAAAGATTTGTCTTCTGGTGATCTCTCGATTTATACAATTTATATTACAAATTTTGCAGTTATAATGGGTGAGATACAGATTAATGCGAATGTTTTTCTAGTCACATTAATTTATTTCCTTCTACTTAAAATATTGAAAATTTCGTGATCAAAGAGTAAAGTGAAGAAACGTTCCTTAGTTCCAAGTTGCTTTCAATATTTTTCTTCTCGCGTTTTATTTTTGACAATTTTTGCTGATGATCAAGGCTTAAACACGTTATTTTTGTCTGAGAAATCACCCATCATCTTCAGATTTGCTAAAAGTCTCTGTTTGCTCTAGTGCAGAACTGGAAGCCCTTCCAAGTGCAGATATGTAGACAAAACAAACTTTTTATGTTGTTTTATCTAAAATTTCATTCTTCAAAAGTTTTACACTATCCAATACAATTTATATGATACAAGAGTCAGTTGAGCTTCTTCCATATCAAATGCACCCCTTAAAGTTGCTTTTCAGGTATAAAAAAAGGGTTTCAGCTGATTATTTGCTAATTGCCGATGGCATTTTTATCGATAGTTATTAAACATCGACTTAACTGCTCAACTGTGAAGTAGCAACCTTGTTACGCACTTTCTTAGCGTACCGTCTTTTGACTACTAATTAGAAAGGACGCAATGCCTTCATTGCAATGACGAGTTTGTTGTAACCCTTTTAGATTAATTGTTTATTAGTCCATTGGTGTCATTGATTTCCTTTTATTGTCTAGACATTTTGGATTATTCTTTCCTAATTACTTTACTTCACGTTCAATTAACTGATTTAGTAAAATTGGTTGATGTTAAAAAGGTTATGTTACGGAAAAGGCCGGCTTACTGTAACTCAGCAAAAGTCAAGGAAACTTAGATCTGGAGATCTGCCAGGCCACTGTTCATCCACCATATTTGATTGTTCACCTACAAGTTCTTCAAAGTGTTGATTTGCATTAAAACCCACAATTAGTCATATTGTTTTCCCCATAGTTAATTTGAAACGTTGATGTGCTGCCGGAATTTTCTTTGGTTTTCGAAAATCGACAAAAAAATGATGCACAACTGAACCAGTAAAACACTTTGCTATTTTTGTGAACTTTTTGTATAATTGCCTGAAAAACAATGAATTTGTCGCAATTGCGTCACGTCGCTTAGTGGAACGTTTGGCAAAAATAACAATTACAAATTAACTTTTTCATGAAATAAGAACATGTACACCTACAAAGATACATGCTGTGAGACCACTGGCTCTGTTTGCGATACCAAAAATCGCCTGCACTTGTTCCACTTTCACAAGTGCATACTTTTGACCTTAAACTGTCGGGACAAAATCTGTGTTCTATTCCTACAGTGAATGTAAAAACACGTGTTTTTGCACATTGCCAATTCTTCCATTACTCATTAATCGACACTTTTCCGATCAAGGAAGGCAATCATCGAACCGCAATCCAATCACGTATTATCTTGGGAAACAATATGCGTATCGATTTCACTAAATCGGACCATCGTCGTATGCGAAATGTATCATTCGGTGCCGCCACTTTTTCCAAGTATAAAACCGATTTTTTTTCGTGGATGTAATCAGTTGTAACACTTTCTTGCAAACGTGCCTCATCGTTCTGTGTTTGATAAAATGTCTATCCTAAAGGTGAGATTTATTTGGTTGTCACACGACTACCTACATAGTTGTATTTGTATGAACTTGCAGATTGTAGCAGTTGCCCTTCTAGCTTCAGTTTTATCAGCTGTCGATTCTAGCATTGTGCCAGCCGTCCGATACACCCATGTAGCTCCTCCCAGCGTGCTTCCATTTTCAGCCCAAGTTAGCACCTTTACGCGAAACTTGCATGTATTTGATGCCCCATATGCTGCGGGAGTTATCCCCGGCCCTCCAGCTATCGTTCAAAGGGCAATTCTTCCAGCACCAGTGGCACCTTTAGCTCCAGCTCCCTTTGTTCCTGCACCTTTCCTATCTAGAGCTGCACCTGTGCTTCCAGCTCCTTTTCCAGGGTATCCCTACATAAACCCATATGTACGGTCTCTACATGGTGTAGCTCCACCAATAGCTCCTGTTCCATTGTTAGGATGAAGCATTTTAGATATAGGAAAATTGTAGATAATGTAGTAAAAACCAGAGCACTGGTACAACTAGTACCAGCTGAGAGTGTTTTCGCGACTGATTTGTAGCCATAGGTTAAGAGATAAACATTTTTAAATATAGCGTGTTGGTTTAATAAATGCTGGGTTTTATTCGCTTACCCTGCAGCTTACCCCTGAACAAGCGCCGTGAGCGGCGCACAAAACAAAGCGCTTCATTCTTATCTACTATTGAATGATGTATAGAACTTAATGTAGAAGAACCAAACATGAAAATTTGAAAAGTTAGGAAAACTAAACCTATAGTAAACCCTAATGAGAGCCAAAAAATGCGAATCAGAATATGAATCGACCTTAAAGATTTTCGTAAAAATTGTGCGGAATTTCAGCTGATTTAGAAGGCATATGGGGCAACCTTCAAAGCGACTTAAAAGGCAATATGAGCAAAAGTTTTCTAGGTTACAAATAACGAGATAATTACAATCAAAATCTGAATAATCAGCTAATTGTGAATAATTGAATTTGCCCAGTGCGAGCATTGGCGGCGAACTATTTAATTTCCTGTTTAATCCGTAGCTTCATATTGGTCGCTTTATCAATTAGCTGATCAAGTAAGCAACAATCAAATTACTTTGCAACTTTTTTCGAATTTTTCTTTTTGGTAAAAATTTCCTTTTTAAAGGCTCAAGTAAATTTTCACTCAGTTCAGACCGCCGCTGCTCGTACCCTCAAAGCCCGTTGGGGCATACAGCTAATTAACTAATATCCGACTGTTTTTTGCATATGTTCCTTTGCTCATTAAGTAATTTGAAATAGTCGAATTTTGCTAATATATTCCCCGAGTTGAAAGGCGAAAAATTGGTCAATGGTTTCCAAGTGGGAGGCAAGACCATTCGTATAAAACATGGCTTGTATGGTTGTTGAGTTATCAGTTGATCGTTTTTGATTATTCGTATTACACAGAATAACTATAAATCAGCAATAATGTTCAAACTTAAATTGGTAAGTATGTGCTAAAAATATTTATTGTTTATATTTTAATCATCGTCAGAAAACGCGCATTCTTCTGCTGCTTCCAAGCTCCTTTTCCTTAATATTGCTAATTGAACGTGTTTAATACTTTCAGTTTTAGTATATTGAATTTAAAACTATTCTATAAGTGGAGCTGCTCAGTCCATTCCATAAAAAATGTTTATAGTTTCGAAAAAACAAGTAGATTTTTTGTGAAAGAATGTACCAGAAGTTTCTCATTACCATCTTGTTGTATTCACTAAAGTGGTCGGTTTCTTCAGTTAAGTCTTCAAAAGCTTAAGGGAACATTTTGCGTTATTCAATTAACTTTCCAGACATTTTTACTCATCAGAGAAGATGATTACCAGAGAAACTTTCGTTGGTAGATTCAAGGGCAAGAATGTTTTCCCCAATTAAGTTCTCTCTCTAAAGAAGCAAATGCTCTTCGCTGTCTTCATTAGAGAAGAGTTGTGCTTATTATGCTTGCTTGCATAATAAATTTACCTCATTTTCACCTTTAATTACTACTGATTACAAAGCAGTTGATATTTTTTCTGTTCAGTAACGTTCCTCTTCTTCAACAGCTCTTGAAGCACAGCATGCATCACCTATTTTCCACCTTTACAGGCAAATCTGAAATTGCACCAACCTGTAGAGTTTTCATGCAACACTTCCTTTGAATGTTAATCATTTGCTTCCAACAGTTCATCTTCGTTGTGTTGGTCACCATGGTGGCTGTGAACGTGATGGAAACCGAAGCCGTGCCAGCGGAAAAAGCCGAATCCTACCAAAACCAAAACTTGAAAGCTCATCATCCAACCAAAGTCGAAATCGTGATCAAAAAGGAGAAGAAAGAAGGTGGCGGTTCTTGAACCCGTCTATGCCTGTTGGAWCGCCTTGATGCCTTAACGGAGACAGTTAATTAATTTATTTCCAAATTTGTTAAGTTTCTGTTTTGTTTCCTGCTTGTTTGTTTGCTACATAAATCRTTTGCGCGCAATAATKGTWTGTTTCMTTTTTCCCTYGTTGATACGTGCGGTTGTTCCAGACATAGAAAACTATGTTGGATATCRATTTAGGGMWTTTTAGGAGCAGACTCCAATGAATACAATTTTGAATTTTCGTATCGKTTTAGAAACAAAATAAATCMATTGAAGTCTCKATTATCATCTACACAAGGTTAAAACGTTATTTAAAAATTGCTATATGAATGGAAGCTCTTAGTTGTAGACAATTCAAATTTTTTTGAAAATTTCTCACAGAGAAGCGCTAATGATTCTCATATTACTGATTTTCCATATTTTAAGGCTTCTGGGGATAAGGATTGAACAGCGAATTTGTGGAGAAATGTTCGTCAGTTTGGACTTAAACCAACTATTTTTTTGTAATTTTTTACACGTTGGTAAAGTTTGAAGAAAATTTAAGTTGCAAGCAAACAGTATATTAATAAATTATTTGACAAGGCTTAAGGAACACAAATGTTTTAAAAATCGCTCTCAATTTTTGCTTTGCCATTTTCCCTATATAAAATTTATTACATTGAAATGAAATTTGAAAATGACGATTTTTTGTACAAATTTGTCATAATGATTTGTTGTACGTACTTTCCTGACTGTGTTTCAATTCCAAAATTAAAATCAAGTCCTGGGTTCTTCAGTCATTTATTTATTGTTCATTTATCAATTTAAA